CCTGGACATGCCTCTGTTTGTCTCCTGTTGCTGGCTGCTGCTCCCACGGTGATTCTCGCCTCCTCCTCCCGGTTCCCGTGATGGGCTCCGGGAGCTGAATCGCTGGAGAGATTTGTGGGGGGATAAGGGAAAAAGAGGATGAGCCACGTGGCCAGCCCAGTGAAAGCCTATGACTTCTTGCTGAAATTTCTGCTGGTGGGGGACAGCGATGTGGGCAAAGGAGAGATCTTGGCTAGCCTGCAGGATGGAGCCACCGAGTCACCCTATGGGTACAACATGGGTAAGTAGGACAGAGGCCATACCACGCCTGTTTTTGTTTTTGAGGCGGTAACTCGTTCCCCATTAGATCCCAGCTCCTGTTGTGCACAATTCAGTTCTGCTAGGCTTCCCCTCCTCCCCATGACAGCGGTGAACTTCTTTGCTGAAGCTTCAGTGTGCTTCTCTTTGCCATCCTTTTAACTGTGTGTGCTCAGTGGCACCTATTGGCTACCCCAGAGTACAGAAATCAAGTTCCTCTGTGAATTAGCTCACAATTGACTGTGAAACCTAAATCCTTAGACAGTTGCCTGACACGTTTGAAACGGCTGCCTACACAGATCTCTCTTGATACAGACTACGGTGTCTGCAGGCATAGTTGGAATGAGAAGGATGCAAGGAAAGGAGAGGAGGTTGTTATTGAAGTGCGGAGTAGAATCACTATCTATTTTGGTTTCAAATCGTGTGCCAGCAAGTATCCACTTCAAAACTACTTTGGGAGTTAAGACTTCTTCATCAATGGCAAATAGAGATCACTGGTCAAAGAAGGGGTCATTTTAGCCAGAACTGTTCTAATAATATTCTGTTTCATGTTGACTATAATGATGAGTAAAGAGAGGAGTTGAGCATTGATAGAGATTCTTCTTTATTTATGAATTCGAGACATTTGCAGCGGAATATTTTGAGTGTTTCTTCCTCTGTGGCACTCTTGCCATTAAAAGCAAACCATTTTAAAGGGATGGACTAGAGAACCCTTAAACAAACTTCCTTTTACACATTAACATATTTAACATGATTGCATTTACTTTTTTAAAACAAAGTATAACTAAACAAGATGATACAGATTATTTATTTTAGCTGCAAATCCAGTAACTGTTGAAATACACATGAAAAATCAATATTTTAGGATGATGTGCTGCACAGAGATATGATCATGTGCTCATTGTAATTTTTGTGCATGGTACTTGGCCCTGCTGTGAGGGCAGGGCACTGGACTCGATGACCTCTCAAGGTCCCTTCCAGTTCTATGAGATAGGTATATCTCCATATATTTATTATTATTATTTAAAATTCTTCTACAGAAATGCTTATAATAAAATGAATTCTTAGTCAGCAAATGACACACTGAGTGCAAAAAAAGCCAAAAATATGTATTTAATGTGAGTGATTTTTAAATGTAAGGGAGAGGATGGAAAAGGTAACATTAAACTGGTAAATTGCAATGAAATGTTACCATGTGTTAAGTCTTTGGAAAGTTTTATATTTTTGATATATAAAAATGTGTGACATCAGAACAATGGCCCTCTAAGATGGAGTGAGTGGATTTGATTTAAATCAAACTGATTTAAATCACTGGTCAGGAAGACTCAATTTAATCATGATTTTCTACATAAAAGTGCATTCTAATGAGAAAATGGTATGGTAGATCTCAAATCAATTAAGGCTATGCTCAGAAAGACCTCAAGATTTCTGTAATATGCTGCTCAAACAGTTTCACTTTTGTTTCTACTGCATGTCCCTTTCTTCTCACATGTATCTCCAGACTTCTTTTGCTTGTCCAGATCTATTTCACCCTCAACAATCTTCTGTTCATTGAACTTTTTAAAACTTTGCACTTTTAGGTTACATCTACACTGCACCTCTCTTGCACAAAGCCTATGCAAATGAAGTGCTGATTAGCATATTGCTGTGCTTCATTTGCATAATTAATTAGGAGCTATTTTTGCGCAATAGGCTTTTGCACAAAAAGGAGCTGTGTAGACGGCTTGGTTTTACGCAAAAAGGAGCCATCTACACAGCTCCTTTTTGCACAAAAGCCTCTTGCGCAAAAATGCCCCCTAATTAATTATGCAAATTAAGAATGGCAATATGCTAATCTGTGCTTCATTTGCATAGGCTTTTGCACTGGAGAGGTGCAGTGTAGACGTAGCCTTCGAGAGAGGTAAGGGATTGACTCTGTGTACACAAATTTGCAGAAGGACAATAGGGTTGAAGTCTGTTATTTCTCACCTTCTATATGTTGTTTATTTATTTAAAGCAGTGGTTGGGTGCCAAAGAGTACATAAACCACAAGGGGTACTTTTTGCTAGTGCTGCAGGCACTGGTGGATCACAAGGGCTGTTTCACCAACATCAACATGGGATGGTCGGGAAAGGTACATGATACACACATCTTTAGGAACTTTGACCTGTTCAGGCAGCTACAAAATGGAACTTTCTTTCAGACTGGAAAATTAACATTGGAGGTGTTGAAATGCCAATATTGATCCTTGGAGACCCAGCCTACCACTTGGTCCTGTGACTCATGGAGCCCAACACAGGCAGCCTGGACCGTAGTAAGGACCAGTTCAACTATAGGCTGAGCAAGTGCAGAATGGTGGGTGAATGTGCTTTGAGACATTTAAAGTGAAACCTTTTCAGTTTATTAGCAACATTTCCATTGATGTGGCAGCCTATCGTGTGCTCCATAATATCTATGAAACTAAGGGGGAAAGTTAGTTATGCCAGGGTGGGAGAGCCAGGACACAGCACTTAGCCATGAATTATGAGCAGCCAGGCACTAAGGCAAGAAGGAGAGCACATTGAGGGGCACTGGAAATCAGAGAAGCTTTAAAAATCAACTTTATGAATAGCTAGACAGCGATTTGTAGCTCTTAATGAGATGCCTCTTACATTAAGCGTGCTTGCCTGCAACACAAGCAGTACAGTTGTTGAAAAATCATGTGTTCTTATTTAGTGAATACAAGGAAGAAGAGACAGAAAAGGAGTTTAGGGTGGGAGCTGGGGTGGGGAAAAAGGATAGCAGTATGTTATGCAGTCCCCCTGTTTGGCAAGCTCACAGATGAGAGAATGATAACCTTTTGTTCCAGGACACATCCTTGGGGGTTGAATATGAGGCTGCCCTTGATCCCTCCCCCCGCATTCTAGGGCCTCTGGGAGAGGAGGCTATGAACTTGGTGAGGAGGAAATGTGAGCTAATATGGGCTGAAGGGGGTGCCTGTTCATCTGGCTGTCGTGTGAGTTCGTCAGATCATTATCAGATCTGCCATGGCCAGGAGCGGCCTGAGACCAGCTGCGGCAGATGGCGCCCCAGGCAGAAAGTGCGATCAGCACCCCTGCCTACACGGCCATCAGTGGCCATGACGTCTTCATCAGGCGCCCTGGCGTGCCGTGACGTCATCATCGGGCGCCCGGGCCGGCGGCACCCTAGGCAACTTCCTAGTTTGACTAGGCTCACGGGCTGCCCCTGGCCATGGCCATCAGAATTCTAGAATCTCCTGCACCCGCTCATAGAAGCAGCATATTTGTGGCAATGACCCAGGCCAGGGCTGGGCAAAATATGGCCCAAGGGTAGGATCCGGCCCGCCAAACCACCAGATCTGGCCCGCATACCACCCTGCAGGGACTCTCAGGCACGCAGCTGCTCAGTTTAAAGTGAAGTGTGTGCAGCTCTCTGCTCTAAAGGGAGGGGGAAGCTTCATGCGATCTCCCTGCCCCCAGCCCAGTCCTCAGGTTCAATTGGCCAGAAAAAATCGGCCAATAGGAACTGACCCCAGCCAATCCCTCAGCTCCTATTGGCTAGAAACAGCCAGCCAACAGGAGCTGAAGAATTGGCCTGGGGGATGGGAGCAGCACAAATCTCTTTCCCCTCCCTAGAGAAGCAGCCTGAAGTTTCAAACAGAGCTGCAGCAGGCAGGGAGCCTAGCCTGCATTGGAAGTGCTGCAGGCTTAGGTAAGTGCCTCCTATCCAGAGCCTGCCTTTGGCACCCTAGCCCCTCCCTCATCCCAACTCCCTCCCCCAGGTCACCATCCAAATCCTCTGCTCCCCCTGCCCCAGGTCACAACTTCCTCCCAGACTCTGTACCCCCTCCTAAACCCCTCCCTCAGGCCAGAATCCTCTCCTGCACCCAAACACCCTCCCAGATCCTGCACCCCATTCCCCTGCCCTGTCACCACCCAAACCTCTGACGTCTGCATCCCCTTTTTCCCCTTCTCCCAGGTTACAGCTCCCTCCCAGACTTTGTACCCCCTCCTAACGCCCCTCCCCCAGGACAGAATCCTCTCCTGCACCTATACCCCCTCCCTGACCGTACATCCCAATCCCCTGACCCAGGTCTCAACCCGCTCCTTTGCCCAGACTCCCTCTCAGACCTCATACCATCTCCTGCATCCCATTCCCTTATCCCATGTGCCCTTCTGCTCCTAACCTCCACCCTAGACCCCACATCTCCTCCATAGCAAAATGTGGCCTTTGACCACTTTCCAAAATCTTGGAGTGGCCCCCCACCAAAAATTATTGTCCACCCCTGCAGTAGCTTTTACAGCTTAGTCCAGTGGTCCCCAACCTTTAGAGGCTCCCGGGCGCCTGGGGGCGGGGCCACTCACGCGCTGGGCGCCCGGGGGCGGGGCTCGGCCTGGGGCAGGCCAGGGGCGGGGAAGCCCTTGCACCCG